AGAAATTATCTAATGTTCATTGGAAAAAACAAAATAAAGAATCAAAGTAGAAAGCTTGTTGAAGTGTATAAAAAAAATTACTCTTTAAAATTAAAGATACTCTCTATTATGCATAAGATGCTCTTTATAAATAGAGAGTCTTTTGAAGCCGCTCTTAGATTTATGTTTTTTGAATTGCAGGCGTGTTACTTTCATATGTGGGGAAGCAGGTGTATGCGCTCTTGGTGCTGTAGTTGCAAAGCACGCTGGTGATGAACAATTGTGTGACCAATATTTAACTCAATTCGAAGAGGTATTTAGTGATGCAACAATGCCTATTTGCTTACATTCCCCCATCACCACTGCTGCTCTTTCACCTAGCATATATTCATTTTTGCTTGAATAAGTATGTTGACTTGCTATTTTTCAAATTTAAATGAAGATCAAGCTTCCGAAGAATCTTCCAGATGAACTGCTGTATGGGAGAGCAGGGTTCTTGTGGGCATGTTCTTTCTTAAACAAAAATATTTGTAAAGACGCAATATCTACCACACGAATGGTAATTCATTTTCTACTGTGTCGTTTTGGCTTTGTCATGCAAACTTAAGATAGGCATAGGTTGATTGGATTAAAAGTTGCAGAGGTCTGTTGTTGATGACATCATAAAATCTGGCCGACAATTAGCTAAAGGAAGATGTCCATTGATGTATGAATGGCATGGGAAAAAATACTGGGGAGCTGCCCATGGGCTAGCTGGGATTATGTATGTTTTAATGGACATGGATCTGAAACCAGATGAGCTGGAGGATGTCAAGGGCACCCTAAGTTACATGATTAAAAATCGGTTTCCTCGGGGAAACTATCCTTCAAGTGAAGGAAGTGATTCGGACCGTCTTGTGCATTGGTGCCATGGTGCTCCTGGTGTTGCACTCACCCTTGTGAAAGCAGCTGAGGTAATTATTGTTGTCTTTTGCTTTGGTTGCAAAATTCCATTCATAAACTCCCTAAGAGGGGAAAGTAAAACATGAAAGACTATACATGTGCAATAAATTATTCTGTCGTAAGAGCTTGCAAATATATAAGCACCCTCAACGTAACTCCAATGTGAATGCAGCAATAGTTCTTTTTCTAATTGCTAGTTCAATTATTACAGAGCAGTTCCAAAAATGGAATGATGAGCTGGAGTGTATCCTAGGTTGTTTAATTTATTTAGTATTTGTTTGTTCTCTTTCCTCATTAGGGGCATGCAAGATTGGTAGCCGGGGTACGGGGTGCTTGTCCAGTCTCGATGTAGATCTGATTGTATGAGGCCATGCTGAATCTTTTCATGTGCAATGTTTAGGTGCACAGGAATTCACTTTTATGGATTGAAACAGCCACATTTGAAAATCATAAACTCATCTTTACTATCCTTTTTCTTGAAGCAAAATATTCTAGGAAGCTAAAAAGGCATTCCTCTTCAATATTATCAGGTTTTTGGCAGCAATGAGTTCCTACAAGCAGCTATTGATGCAGGAGAGGTGGTTTGGAATCGAGGCCTACTTAAACGAGTTGGAATTTGTCATGGCATAAGTGGAAATACCTATGTATTTCTTTCTCTGTACCAATTGACAGGAAACTTGAAGTTCTTGTATAGGGCCAAAGCATTTGCTTGCTTTCTGCATGACAAGGCTCAAATTCTCATATCAGAGGGCATTATGCATGGAGGTGATCGCCCATGTTCACTGTTTGAAGGCATTGGAGGAATGGCCTATCTGTTTCTGGATATGACCGAACCATCTGAGGCTAGGTTTCCGGCATATGAACTTTAGATTTCTTTGTACAAAGAATAAATAGTAGATGGTTGCACTTATGTACTAGAGCCTCTCCTTTTAGTTAATAAGTTGGAGATTGAATAAAAAGTACTAATGTTCTTCAAAGTTGACAAATTTGTAAGGTTCTTTGTTCTTGTTGAAGTTTATTTCCCCTTGGCAGTGTAGCTGGTAACGCAGAAGGTAACGTTGTAACTAAAGAAACGCTTGCCTGGAGAATGTTTGAAGATCATAACCGGCTTATCAGTTGTTATTAGGAACAATATTCAGTGAAGCTCATATACGTTCTCTACCCACAAATGTTATCCATTTCTATGACACTAAGTAAGATAAATAGATCGAGTGATTTTATTATAGATTCTTACTCAAATTTGACAGGTCAAACATTTTTACAACTACAAGCATCTCAATCAGAACTCAGGCCTCATGGAGCTGGATCTTCGTCTGCCTTGGCAAAGATTAGTCTAAACGATGATCAAGGCTGAATTTTAAGCCAAACCTACAAGTTTATCGCTGAGTTCCCATATTTTACGAGCTTTTGCTGCATCACTGGCTTCTGGAGACAATTGGTTCTCAAATGATGCCGAGGCCTTGTTCCAGCTCCAGTAGACACCAGACTTTGTTAGGCTTGGATCGCTTACAACCTGTGCGAAAAAACAATTAATAAGTATATGTTGGACATAACTACAAATATTCTTCACATGAATCACATCTTTTCTTGTTCTTATTTGCATCCTGTTTCATACCTGTGCAAGTCTCTTTCCAGCTTCTTCCTCTGAGACGAAGCCCTTAGTAATGAACTTCTGGAATGGAGGGAAAAGGAGACGGAACAAAGGGATGTGCTCTCGAAATAGGCCCGTTGTTGCAATACAGCCGGGGTACAGAGAAGCAAATGTGATCCCAGTATCCTCATGGTAGAGACGGTGAAATTCTTGCATTGTGAGCATATTGCAGACCTTGCTATCCTTGTATGCCTTGGCACCGTCAAAGTCTCCACCATCAATCATAGCCGAGCTATTTAACTCGTTCAGTCCTCCGGCAAGACCCCTCAAGTCACCAAGGTTGGCCTTTGGAGGTACGTTCCCGGCCAATGTATTTGTATTTCCTGAAATATATTGAGAGTAGCAAATCCAAATTTAGTTCTAGTCACTCTTTAAAGAATGTGGTTCATTTGAATAGAAGCCATCTATTCATTTATGAAACAAGTCGTTAAATTTAGTGCAGTCTTGAGCATTTTGAGCTGATCTTGTTTGTGTGTTATTATTTTTCGTACCTGTAATTGAACCGACGATTATAAGTCTCTTTGAAGGGTAATCAGACTGCTTCATGTCATCAAGCAGCAATCTTGAAAGAAGGAAGTGGCCTACATGGTTTGTCCCGACACTAAGCTCAAACCCGTCAGCTGTAAAAGAAGGCTGTTTAGCAGTTGGTTGATAAACAGCTGCATTGCAGACGAGGACATCAAGAGGTCGCCCGGATCGCTTGAAATTATCCACAAATTGCCTGACACTGTCGAGCGAAGCGAGATCCAAATGCATAATGGTGTAACTTTCCTTGGCCATGCCCGCCGACTTTGCGGCTTTCTCAGCCTTGAGGAAGTCTCTGCAGGCCATAATTACATGCCATTTGCCTGCTTCAGCCAGAGCTTTAGCTGTGGCCAGACCTAAGCCGGATGAGGCTCCAGTGATTACTACATTGCCCTTTCTCAAAGTTTTCTTCCCTTGAACCGTGTCAGAATTGATGGCTGGAGTTGTAACCACTGCCTGAGCCCTGACCGCCACAGATGACTTTCTTGCACCGAATTCTCGCTGCAAAAGCTCCAATCAGCCTATTCTTAATATTTGAAATTCGTTCGTCTGTGAAAAGAATAAAACGATGGAATATGTACCTTGCTCTTCAGTGCAAAGGAACTAAAGTCAGTTTTGGCTTGGTCTGCAAGTGAAACTCCAAAGAGGCCTGAATTAACAGATGCAGCGCTTTTTCCCTGCAAAAAGCTCAGCATTCAGTCAATAATCAACCGCAAAGTGTGCTATGTTACAATAGGCAATACTGAACATGGGAAACAAACCTCTTTTTGAATGGTGAACGCTGAAGGGACCAAAGAAGCAGCTTGTAGAGCCATTGATAAACTCAGATGTCAGTCGGGTTTTTCTTAAACAGACCTCTGAACTTGGTAGAATACTCTTCGATTTAGCCTGGAGCTTTCGAAACTTGTGATGTATATATACTAGGGAGTCGGCAGATATTTGACAAAATTGACAGCCCTTTTGGATATGAAATCACAACATGGATAAGATAATTCTGTTTGGAAGTACTTGCCATTTCAACTCCAAGGAACCAATGAGAGTTCATAGTTAGGATTTCCTTTTGTTGCATTTATTATCATTTTAAGTGGAAGAAGTGTGAGTGGGCTAGGCACGGATGTTTAGGTTCGTTCCCCAAAGCAAGATAAGGGCTTAGGGGGATGGGAAATTTGTGAAGGATAATGTTAGGTGTGGACATTGCAGGAATTGTGTTACAATTCTCCCAGAACTTGGCATTTTGTCTATCTTTTTTTTTTTTTTTTTTTTTTTTTTTTTTTCCCCCGGGGCCCCTTTTTTTTTTTTTTTTTTTTTATACCCAGGTGTCCACCTTACAGCGACTAATTCTGGGGTCTACGATCCAGCCCCTCTTCACGCAAATCAGGTAAACTGCGAGTTGTACCTCATACTGGCCAGAGTCCAAGAATCCCCCCAACTGAACTGTCAAAGTGCCGAACGAGTCAAACTCATGTATGAGCCCTGCCTTTCAAGGAACTCTTGCCTTCCAGGAAATATCCTGCCTTTCAGAAAAAGCCTTACCTTCCAAGAGCCCCATGAATCGAACCCGTAACCTCTGAACTGCCTGCTTTGAAGAAGGCATTTTGTCTATCTGCCTATAAATATGTGTGTTTGCTTGTAATTTTACTCGACTTCGACGATAATTGAACTCGAGTGAATACATAACTTGACATAACAATGGAAAGCATTTTTTTCCAATAAACAGTAATTAGGAGTGAATATGTAAATAAAAAATGAAAAATATTTCAATAACACATCTTTTTGTTGTGAACAACATCGAATCACAAAATCTCGTTACAGAGGATCGTACCCTTTTAACTTATCAAGAACATGAACTTGAAATGCCAGCCTATTACAGAAACTACTGCTGCACTCCCAGTTCCATGCCCAGTTTTATGTATACACTGCCAGGATAAAATTAAATGAATTGCTAAAGAATTTTGTTTTTATTATCATGCTCGTAACTCTACAATTGCCGATTACAGAAAATCAATCGGTTTCTGGGTAACATCTCCTTCACTTTCTTTTTTCCGTCCTTTTCAATTCTGATAAATCTACTTTTTCTCAATGCCAAGTTAGGAAGTCTCCTCAACTGAGTCGCAAATCCAACCGGCACAAGCACAAGAAACAAAGAAAACTCACTTATATTACACGTATTCTCACCGGATATCTGTACAGATTTCATCGACTTCAGCCTTAAATCCGAACTGGCAATCCAAAATTCTGGAAAGTCCTGATTTCACCCCTAAGGCCCGCGGTTACAATGACCATACCCCAGGCTGACCTGTTTTGGACAAGCCCATTGCAGAAGTCGACACTAACACGAGGACTGCGGTCCTTACAAGCAGAAAGAAGCTTTTCCTCCGGCCATGTTACTATTCTATCAAAGAGGCAGCTGTTCGTAGCACTAGAAATAACCCCGATCAGTGGATTATCACTGCTCCTAGATCCCAACGAGGAGCTCTCGTTACCATTAGTCTCTTCGACTGGTGTGGGTGGATGGTTGTCTGTGGAAACCTCATCAAAATGACCATTTTGCCCTCCAGAACAAGTATCTTGAAATCCCCATGTGTCGGAAATACCAGGCCAAGGAATTGCCACCGATACATCTTGACAGTGAAAATACTCGTAAGACTGGGTCACAGTAACGCCTTTGCTTCTATTTGGTCGTGATTCACCTTCATGCTTCCAGATGTAAACAGAAGAATCATCGCTGGCACATATTACATATCTTCCATTAGCCATAATGGAGGCTGAGATTTGGCTGTTTGTGTTGTGAAACCCTGTCAGAGATTCAGCAAAGATCTTTTGTTGGCTACAAGTATTGGAAATCTTCAAATGAAACACAAATGTTCTTATTGCAAATGTCTAGAAATAAATAAATAAATAAATAAATAAAATACACACGCACATATAATTGATTACCCTCACTCCGCCCCAAATCCAAGAACGACTGAATAAATCTAGCCAAACAGAGAGAGTTCATACTCTACCAAAATCACCCTCAAATATGAAGAAAAGGAAAAAAGAGAAAAAGAGGGGGGGAGGGGGGGTTGGGGTTCCATAATTGACTAAAATGTAAATAAAATTTAATGATTCATTAGTTTCCATTCAAATGACAGAATTATGAGCAAGAAACAAAGGGTTTCTCAACTCTCAGGCAATGTAACTGAATAAGAAAAGGGAGTTTCCATAAAAGCTTTCTGCTGCAATCATGAGACATATAAAAAGTTCTTATCCCACTATACTCAACTCCAAGAGTTAATTCAACTAATGAATATTTTATCCATCAAAATGTTATTTTAATAGTTAGCTCTTTCCTTAATCAGTCACCGAATTAATTTCCAGTAGCTAAGTGTTAGCAAAACTAAAAATCCAGATGTCTTCAGCACACGAGGAGAGAATAAATTTTCACTGGTGATGCTGCAAACAAACTCATTTTTATTCATAACAAAGTAATTTATGTTTCAGCTACAATGTCATGTCCATTTGCCCTGTTCAAGCTCTTCTGAAGAGCCAAATGAGCAGCTCAAAGAATAAAAAAACTAGGGGAAAAGTGACCTACTCTAACTAGGGGCTATCCCTATGCCAAATTTATTGGCAGTGATGCTTTCACAGCGTCAAAAGATGATATCTAAGAAAACATCTAACCTCCCAACAACGGCATCAAATAGTTACTAGTTACTACCAGAATAGGTAAAATCTATGTAGCACGGACACTCCAACTAGAGTAGCGTGTCCGTGTCCGTGTCCGTGTCCGACACGTGTCGATACCGACACTCTTCGGACACTCTACAATAATCATTTTCCTTTCTTACTATAGTTATTATATATTTTTAACTCAAAGTTTTTAGTAAATAACAAATAAGTACTCATATTTAAAAAATTTCAACAAAAAAGAATCAATAATCAAGTACTTGCGCAACTGTAATGCAGTGTAGTTGCATACCTTTGAACTTGTGAACAAGATCAACACCATCAAGAACTCGAATTCGTGAATCTGCAGAGGTAATGAGCACTTCTGATGAACTTCCTGGTGCAAACTGTTCCAAAAGAAATATCAGTTATCGCAAGACTAGATTTGTGTGCACTTTATTTCTCAAAAATAAGAAAAGGCCATGTATGAATTAATTACCTGGAACCCAGTAATTTTCTTGTGATGAGATTTCTTCTTCTTATTCTCCAGATTGATCTGACTTTTTTGCTGTAATTTATTTTCTGGAAGCATGAAAGCACGTAATTAGAAGGTGCGCACGTGAACAGAAAGTTTTTCTCTTTTAGGATAATTTACATGAAGTTAAAATCTCAAACCTTTTGTGTTGTATAAGCGGCAACTCCCCTTGTATGAGCCAACTAGTGCACCCTTCAAAATCAACAACAATATCTTCAACAACTGGAGCGTGTGCATAAGGAAAACATTTGTGCTCTAACCTGCTGAGACAGCATAAATAAAGTAGTAATTACAATAATTACAGATGTCAAACCTGGCCATCCGGTGTATAGCAAGCTGCAGTGACCATTTCATGCAGATCATTCCAATCAACAACCTGGCGATCAGGAATGCTCCATATACGCACCTTGCCATCCAGAGATCCACTGATGAAGTATCTATCATCAACAGGATTGAACTGGATGCAGGTTACTGTGTCAAGGGAAATCCAGAAGACATTGTAATCAGTCAATTGACGAATAAGACTTAACTACATTCATTCAACTATTAGTAATGTGCCAAAAGTAACATAGCTATGTAGAATTCAGGTACATGGGGAATAAAAAGAACTAATATTGGGAAGGAATAGTACCCATTAGCATAATTTTACACAAGAAATACAGATACTATGACGTTAAGCAAACAATCATGACCAATTCATAAGCATGAAAATCACAATACTAACCCTATCATTAAAGAACTATTTCAATCCTAAAGTGAGCAACTAAGACTATCCCAAGGAAACAGATCTGAACGTCGAAGACAACCTTGTAAACCAACTTCTCATATTTAAGCTTGTCTCCAGCTTGTTTTTCTTTGTTTAATCACATTCCTGTAGATATATCAAGATTTTATATCCCTTAGATACAATTGCGAATACTCCCCCAAAAAATCATTTTATAGGATCCCAATGGCATAAACAGCACCCCTTGTTGTCTTCTCTGGTCTCCTTCCGTCAACGCTTCTCAATGCCTCCAAAACCACTTTCCCTTGTGTTTTACTGTCACCAAAAGAAACCCTATAGCCAACAAGAATAGTAGCTAAAAAGTCTCAACTGCCCTTTGCTTCCATCAGGTACCATACGTCTCAGCTTCACAAGCACAAGAATTGGCATATCATTGGAACATTTTTATTATTATTATTATTTTTTGTGTATCATTGGAACATTTGCAGCTACTTATACACATCACGTAAAAGGATATTTCCAAGAAGTTGAGGATTCCATCCCCCGTCCGCCCAGCAACCCACCTCCTCTCTTCGCTTTTCAACAGATTAAAGTTTGAACAGTAAACTTTATAGCACAAGAACTAATAAGATTAAAAAATTGTCCAGTCAGGTAATGATGTCAACTTAGATCCGTCTGTTTACCAACCAACAGCCCCTCCCCCTTCGCCCCCAAAAAAAAACACCAAAAAATTTGAAATAAGCATTGAGGGAAATAACCATTTAAATTTTAAAAATGAAGATTTTCGAATAAAAAGTAATATAGTGACGATAATTACCATAGTCACTGTGTGAAAAAATCTTTAAACAGGACTTGCTCGACATGTCCCACAGCCGCACCGTTTTGTCCATTGAAGAAGAGAGCAGTTGCTGGAGAGAAGAAAGGCGTAAGTCAGATGTCTTGACTAAACCTTTGCAAGTGCTGAACTTGCAAAGTGGTGTGGAGAACTACACAGAATCATGAGGCCTTACAAGCAATCATGGATGTCAACTAATGGCTTCTTTTTATTGTGGACAAGGAAAGACAAGCCAAATTATTTGTTCTCTTGAGAATGAGAAACAAAAAATCTTTTATTATTTAGCCATTATAATTCATGCATAAGAAATCAATTTTTTATTTTATTTTTTTATTATTATTTTTTTTACCTATAGATGCACATATCACATTCTCAGCATTCAACAAGACAAAAAGAAACCAGAGAACAAAAAAACTTTGAGAACGTTTGAAATGGAAATAATCTGCCGGCTGCCTGATTAAAGAACGGGCTAAGTTTAAAAAGTTTAATTATAAGTCAACAGGTAAGTTTTAATATAAATAATTTTTTATTGATCAAAGTTGGAAAAAAATTACTTATTCTGACAATATTGTAATAGATGCTTCAAAAGATTTTTTTACTTAAAAAATAAAAAAGAGAGTAAGTTTTCTTGACCTGCTCCATGGTTATACTTTTCCCCGGCCAAGGATTTCCAGCAGGCTTAGAAATTTATTTAGCTTCTCCAATATGATTCATCTATGTATTAAACCTTGGAAATCTATACTGCAATGGACTAAAATCTCAACTTAAGTCCAAACAATAATATTTCTACTCAAAATCATTTGACTTCATCTTCACACGATAAAATATTTTTCACATAAATAGAATATTTTTCCTACTTTTTAACCACACATTCTCCAATAAATCGCTATTCCAAAGCTCATTTTCTCCAATAGAACTCATTTTAATGGATGTCAAATAGGGGCTTAATGTTCTGTATCTGATTTTCTGACTATTCCTCATAATTGTTTGTTTGTGCTTAATGTGTGGTTGAAAATGAGTTTGAGAAAAAAATGCTCTGAATTAATGGATGTCAAACAGGGGCTACACAAGAAGCTATGTCTATCATGCTTTTCCCATGGCGTCCTGCATACTATTCACAGGTCAATTGGTATCTTGCATCAGCCTGTTAAACTCAAAGAAAATGTATATTTCTGGTCAAGTTCTTTTTCTGGTTTTTTCTTCGAGTGGGGGCAGGAGGTCAAAGAAGAGACAGGGTTCCCACAAGTGTACCTGACATAATTTACAAATTTCACTTTCACCACATACAATCTATATTCACTTGATTACCAAAAAATAAACAGTACTCCTGGGTAAGATTCAGTTAAACTAGTGTAAGATAAATCTTGTGGATAATGAAAGATTGATAAGCTCAACTATACGTTGACATGGCTACATTGTCTACATTGCACGAACAGATTATTTAAGGGTCCAATAATCCTTAATTAATTCATCATTTGAATGAGACAAAAATTTCAATTTCCGACTATAAGTCAAAAGTAAGGAATACCCCAACTTGTTCCTTAAATTGATGGAAGGGCAGAATAAAAGATCTGAAGGAATTCGCAAACTAACCTGAGACTTGGACCACGAAAGGTTCAATATATCATCCAGATGCCCCTGAAATGAACAGATAGGTTTCTCCAAAAGCGCGAACATTGTCTCTGGCACCAAAATCTGTTCAAAGCTAACTGATTTTCTGCTTATTGACGATCTCCCTCTTCTCCTCTCTGAATGGCTGTCTAATTTTGGTGACATTGAAGAAGGCTCTGGTGATCCATTAGCCAGAAACAGAAGATTAAAATTCCCATCTTCCAGTTTATCCAACAACAAATCACCCTTCCTCTCTGTTTCCGAAACCTGCCACACATGAATCACGCAGTCCTCACCAGCACTTGCAAGATACTTGCCGTCCAAACTAAACTTTATAGTCCAAATTGACCCATTGTGTGCCTGTATCTCCTGGCTCTTGTAAACTGCTGTAAGCTCTTTGACAGACTTCCCATATTGTCGGACCCGAATTCTTTCGGGCCCGTGAAAAGAAATATCCTGGCTATCATCTGTAGCAGAGCTCGATCTCCTCCCACCCTTCTCAGATGATGTATCCCTCTCATCGCTACTACGTCTCTCCTTATGCCCTGTTACAGATCTCGCTACATTTTTTATGCTCTTCAACCAGCTCCCTCTCTTCTTCAATTTGGATCCGCCCCCAAAGCCACCATTCGCATTTGCAGACCGAGCATCCTTGTTCCCATCTTCCACATTCTGCCTCCTCATTAACTCTTGCACAATGGGAGAAGTCCCAACACACATCTCAGAGAACTCTTCCATGGTCAACTGCCTCCCTGTATCCAGTTCCTTAATCTTTTTCCACATCCCATCCTCCCTCACCTCATTCACCACAAACTCCTTCCCATTATCCAGATTCTTTATCATACACACCGCATTAACATCATCTGCCCCAGTACTCTCCACCACCTTGTCCAGCTCCCCAGTCCCCAAAATAGGCAATGATTCACTAAAGCTCCCATTACGCATGGAATCTTTTCTAATCTTCCCTTTCGGCGGCTTACTTGGGGAAATCACACTGGTCATCGGTAAACTATTGTGGTTTCTTGATTTCTTGACATTGTCATGACAGCTTTGTATATGGCTCGGCTGATCATTGTTTACAGATATACCAATCCCACCAGTACCCTCGTTGACTGGTGAGGCAGTAGAAGTTGAATTAGTCAAATGAATTAGAGAACTCGAGTTACATTCCCCCTCCGATTTTGATTGAACAATGCCAGATACTTTACTATTATCATTATCACAATCACTATTATTAAAGATATCACTATCACTAGGAGTCTTGGAATTCTTTTTATTACTATCAACGTAAGAAAAGGTCTCACCGGGGCTTATCAAGTGATCCGAAGAGGTGGATCGACTAAAGAATTTCGGTTGGGCAGAGGGCGAAAGGGCAGGGCGGTGGCGGAGAAGGGAAGGGTCACTGGTGAGGCCCATCTTGTGCAGGAGGTGGAGTCGACGTTCCTCAACGGATGAGGGTTGGGAGATCCAGACGTCGTAGTTGCGGAACATCCCCACGGGGAACCTGGGAACCGGGGCAGGTGTGACGGCATTGCTGCCTGGAGATGCAACGGAGCTGAAATTCCGGTTCAGATCCTCTTCAGAATCGGAATTGGAGGGGGAACAGGAGCAAGAGGTGTTAGATGAAGAAAGCAGGCGGTCAAGGGAATCGTGAAAACACTCTTCGTCTTCTTCTTGTTCTCCAGCTTTGCTCATCGTTCTTTTCCCATCGATAATAGCCCCCGTCACACTGCCCGATCCAACTCCCACTCGGGCGTGGCGGGCCAGCGCTGGGCCGATCCTGATTCTCAAACCTTAGGGTTTTTCTACAAAATTTCAATGGCGAACTGTAGAGCGAGGGATTGTAGAGTTTTAGAGAGAGAATGTGTGCGGAGGTGATCGGACAGTATTGATATGGGGGTTTTAACCTTGGGCTCAGATCCGATAATGGATTAGTTAGAGATAGAAAACAGTTGACAGGGAGACTGTAGAGAGAGAAGGAAGGAGGGGAACGATGTCGTGTAGTGTGATGATGAGATGCTTTTGTATTATTGTGTGCGTGTGAGTGAGGGGAGGGGTTAAAATTGAAATTTTGTGGTTGGGGATGGAATTTTGTTCTTTTTGAATTGAATGTGTGGATCAATTCATAAATTCGAAGCTTGTTGTGTAGTGGATTTATACATTTTCAATTAATTAGACTTCAAAATAATATAATTTCTTCCATCATTCACCACTCTATAATTTTATTGCTACAAAATAATTATAAAATTTAGCATTATGTTCAGATGTTAGGAATAGGGTAGCAACAAAATGAATTTTTTATTTAAAAATAAATAAATTTTGGATGTGGCTCATTAAGAATTTTTTTTTATTTTCATCCACGTTAAGTAATAGTACCATACGAGACATATAGCCTAATCTACAACATCGACGAGTATATGTAGACCTAATTGTTCGATTAGACACTATATACTAGTTGACCTCATCCAATCTAATTTTTTAGTTCTAAAATGTGTGAATGAAAAAAATACACAATACAACTTATTAAATCCACAAGAGGAGACTCCCATAAACTCCGTTAGACGAGGGAAAGCAAATTATTATTTCAAATGTATGGTACATTATTCTAATTAAATCGACACACTACGAATTTGTAAAAAGTGTCTATTCTCATCGCTTGTCGCCCATTTTACAAAATGATGATGTCTTCATCAAAGCATGAACTTCTTTCGTACTTCAACAATCTTAATTGATAGTGTCTGTCTCACACTAGACACATCGATGTGTTGGGCTAGAAATATTAGCAACATCACATTAGAATATTTTGTATACAATACTAGTCTACACACGATAAAATAGTATTATACATAAGGTCTGTTTGATGGAATTTTTGTTTTTCCTACTTCTTGCAGGAACGGTTTCTTGAGAAAGTTGCCTTATGTCAACTTTTTTTAGAAGATCTTCTATTAAGACAGAACACTTTCAGTAATAAAAAAAAGTTCAAAAATAATTTCTTAATTGTAGAAATAGTTTTTGACTTTTTAAAATTCTTACCAAAATGATCCATAATCTATGTAAGCCCCCGTTTAAACCCTATTAATTTTCATTTTATTACATTCTATTTTTTTATTTTCTATTTTCAATCACACAATTTTTCATAAAATAATATTAAATGTAAATTGAAATTTTTTCTTTTTTTCTAAAATAAAAATACTATTCCGCCAATTCATTTTCAAAAAATGGGGCAAGGTAGATGGGCTGCGAGACTAGGGGCATAAGTCGTATGGGCCTTAAATGCAGAGAAAAAGCAACCGCTATGAGTTGCTATTTTACTGAAAACGCATTCCCACATGCCAAAGTCTTGTCCCACTTCTGGGACCCACCTATCTTCTTTTTCTCTTTATAGGTTGGTGGACATATCCAGATGCTTCGTTATGTATTGTCAATATTACCATTTTGACTTTTGCCATGCACAAGAAAAAAATTTGGAAAATTGTACACACCGTCTCAACTTTTACGCGTCTTTATGATCTTTTCATCTTCATGTATATTCTTAAAGGTTGTTTGGTATAATTTAAAAACCAATTAAAATTAATTTTTGGACCGTTATTTCACTATTTCAATCATTATTTTTGAATTTTTCTCCCGCAGATAAGACCCACTTTATTTCTAATGGTCAAAAAATTAATTATCAAAATCCCTACCAAACAAGCACTTAATATATCGTTTAGTGGTAGTCGTCGACTTGGTATGTGCAACGCGCGTGATATATGTTTTCAGACGAAATCTGTCCATAAATATAGTTGCAGCCAATAAACAAAAGAGTGTTGCTTCCCATCTCTCCACACACCTATCACAGGGAGTGAGCTGGTTCCCTGCCGTACAAGGCCTTCGTGGCCCTATACTTGTATCTTTTTCCTAAACAAATTGTTAGGAAAATGCGTGAATTTTTTTTTTTTTTTTAAAGGAAAATTGTGCAATTAGGTTTAAAGTGGTGGAATGGTAATTATTTATTGGAATATTTGGCTTTGTGGTTTGCAAATTTTAGGTCCCAAAGGTGAGAAGCTATGTAGACTCCAGAATTAGCATTCTTTGGATTTATTAGGGATTTAAGTAGACTTTGCAGGGCAGGGGTGAATAAATGTCAAACAATGTGAGAGAGAGTTAAATTAGAGACTGTTTATAACTATATTTTAACTGTTAATTATTTTGCCATTGCAAAGTTTACTTACTACACCATATTATAATTACACCATAATTAAAATATATCTTCAATAAATACACTATAACAAATTTAAAATTATACTTCTAATCCAATAAAAATTAAAAATGAAAAAAAAAATACAATATTGTGATGTATTTGTCATCTAATATCACTCCTTATTTTTCTCATCCTGTCCTTGCTCATTAATTAGATCTTCATCTTTTTCAGGATCAAACCATTCAAAGTCATCGTCCATATTTTGACTTCTCAGTTGTTTTATCCGTGTCTTTCTTAGTTGTTATACATCCATTTCCACGCTTTAGCATATCCTTATCCACCTTCGCTATGGCCTCAAAATCTTCACAAATGTAGGAAACTCACCCTTCGATATCCTTATCCATGCTTTAGCGCACGTTTGACATATTTTTAACTATTTTCGATATCTATTTGGACCATTTGATATATCTATGATATAGTTCTCGAAATGAGCTTCGAAATTATGTAAGCGATTTGTGAATTCGACTAGCGTACAATTAATGTGCTATCGAAATTCTTGAAATACTAATTTGAAACAGCTTACTTTGACAAGTTGTAATATTAGCTATGATTGGCCATATTTCACAGAATACAGTATTTCAACTTCGTTTGGTATCCTATAGTGACTTTGAAATTGAGACAAAAAATATAGAAAAATCAATAGCAGTCAAAAAAGGATTTGTCCAAATGTGACCTCCATTGTACCCGTGTCGTCTTGCTAATATTTTTGCCATATTACCATTGTTATTGGTAACAAGTACATCACTTTGATCGTGCGCTATAAAATCTAGTGTAGCCATACCAGAAGAAAAGGGTTCATATTCTTGCATTCTGGATGTAGCGTCTTTTGAGTGGAAGTTAAGGAAAATTAGGTTTAAGTTTGTGGTGGAATAATGATTTACTTTACTAAAAAGTACATTAAAATCCTAATTATGTAATTTTACTTAAGATTATTTAGGTAAATTTTAAGAATCGTGGTGAATTTAATAAAATTTGTAGTGATAATATAATTACTTTTTTTGAATTTTCTTTAAAATAATATTTCGATTTCATAATCTCGATAACAAAGCTTTGTGATCTTTTAGTTCTTGATAATTGTGTAATTGTGTTACATTAATATTATAAGACTCAACTCGTACTTTTTCTGAATCAATTCTATTGAGTCTTGAGTTTCTTTTTAAAATATTTATCTTACTGTAGCAGTATAAATTCCTATATGTTAGTTATTGTTTTCATATTAATTGATACAAGATTTTGCTCTTATTGTTAATTCGAAATTTAAAACAAACATGATAATTGTAGATCAACTTAATAGAGATTTAGTAGAATAATTGTTGGAATATTGTAAAGAAGAGAGAATTTTTCATTAAGAAGTGTTTTGATAGTGTATTATAGAGGAATGCTTAGTTCGATCCATTGCCTCTTTATGTAGATCATTTAACGTGAATTCTGTCTTGTCAAGCTACAATTTGTTGACTTCAATTAGTATGCTACCATCTTATTTTGAAGAGATTTGATTGGTTGAAAAGTCTGATCATCATGACATCCAAATCGTAGCTTGTGGTTTAGGGCATCATTATTAGTGAACATGATAGCAGTGACGTTAGAGATGACACTTGTCCGATTTATATTGAGAAAGAAAAATGAAGTTCATTTACATGAAATGGGGCGTAAGACTATTGTTGTGAGTTCAAATCAAACTAATCGTTATCCATTTATTAAAAATTATGCATGCACAAAGTTACAATGAGACCAAATGAACCCCGCAGTATAAATTATTGATTATTTCATGTTTTACAAATATATATAACTTCAACATAAATTAACACATCATGCATATAATTAAGCGCTTAACTCGTTTGATTATGCATCAATTGAAAACTCCCTCTCTCTCTCTCTTTTTTTTTTTTTGGTAAATCAACTCACGCAAGCTCTTGCGACAGTTCAAAATAAACAAATAAGTTATGTAATGGAGTAGCGGCAGATTGAAGAGATAAATGAAGAAAGAGGAGGGACCGGGACGGTGTTGCCTGCGAGTGATCATCATTATCCAAAGAGACAAATTATCAAACACCTTTTCTCCCTTTTCCTTTTGCAGCTCCACGTAACACAAGATAGAAAATAATAAAATATTGGTGAGCGTCCCGTTGTTGAATGTTGACCCATATTTCAATCGGAATGTTACAAGTTGACATGACATGACATGACATGACATGTTTAAAGAAAAGTGGGTCAACCTTCAAAGTTCAAACAGTAAAAGGTCACACCGTCGGCCCAATGTCCGTAAAATAATGAAAATTTCCTTTGAGAACTAACCGACAAAGAATAATAATATTTCTCCTTTCCAACGCAAACTTACCTTTTTCTTTCTTTTCATTTCTCATGTTGAGAAAAAAATATTTTTTACGTTTTTTTAATAATTTTTTATTACTTTTTAACTATAGCCCTTTAGCTTCTAGGGTCTATTTCTTAGTTCAAGATCTCTCTTACTAATTAGAATGTATAGGAAAGGCCCAAACCCAATTCCAAAATACAGTGAAACTTCATAGGGTCTTTCTGTTCAGGTGCAGATATCTCTTACCTACATCGAAATCTCCTGTCATCTGGAAAAGAAGGCCTTGCTTGAACTCTTCAGATATCTGAGGATTCTGCTCAACTAATAATTGTTATGATAATAGTATATATAAGGTAAAGCAGGAAAAAGACCGAAACTAGAATCCGTTACTTGAACAAAACTAGATCTCGTGGGAGGCAATGAGTAGGTAGGAGAACTAGAATTCACAAAACCTAGTCATGAAGTG